TTTTATTCTTAGACCAGCTTATTTTTTATTTTGTTTCTTTTTAATAAGTGGGGTATAGATTTTTTAAATTTAAATTTTTTTTTCTAGGATTTTACTCTATAGCCCAGACTGGCCTCTAACTCACCACAATCCTCCTGTGTCAGCTTCCTCCAATCCAGTTTTGGGATTACAGGTGTGAGCCACCACAACCCATTGCTTCCATTTAAATAACATGTTATGTTTTTCAAAATTGAAGGCATACTAATCGGAAAAGGTCACAGAACAATGGAGTGATGGAGACCAGGTTGCGTCCAACTCTGGAGTCAGTGCTCAGCCCCGGCTCCCTCCTTTCCAGTTCTGACCCGTCACACACATGAGAAACCTGACGTTTAAAGAACGGAAGGGATTTGTCTGGGGTCGCAAAACTTGCGAGCCACTCGCTAGCTCAGAACTCAGTTTATCTGACGACAAAGCCCTGTGCTCTGCCTCAGCTGGCTTCCCACCCTCTGGCGCCACCGTTCCTGCACCTTTGACTCCAAACAGAGGCCTCTCCGTCACCAAATAATGTGATCAAATCAAACCTTCTTTCCATACAATTAGAAAACATAACAGGTTACAGCATTTAAAAAAAAAAAAGCAAAAAACCTCCAAAGCTTCTCAAAGCTAATTAATTTCTATTACTAGTGAGAGGGGACCCACTTAACATGTCTTTTCTTATTCAAATTACCATTGACGGCACCTGCTTTTTTATTCTTGGGAAATCCTGCTACAATGCGGGTAAATTATGTAAGACTGTAGAATTTATGAAGATAAGGCAATTAGCATCACAAAACCAAGTCCGGGTTACAATTTCTGGGGAATAGAAAGAAGTGTGATGCTCCCTTAAATGGCCCAGGGAAGTCTCACAGACGGAGTTAATCCTGAGGTAGTCTGGAAAATTGAAGGCTAAATGGTGCCAAGATGGTGCCTGGGTCTTTTGGTGATGGGGGCTGTCTGGGAGGAGAAGGCAGAGGCCTAGGCATCTCTTGCTTCCCCGAGAGAGAAAAGGGCGGGTACAGGATTTAGTGGTGTGGAGGCAGGAAAGGGAAAGGAAGTTTTAGATATTCCTGGTGTTTGGGGTTAAGCAGAGTCCTTCGAGTTGGGGCCATCATCTGGCATGGATTTCTGAAGCTTTCACTACGGCTTGCAGTGTCTCCAGCCTCAGCACAGCTGCCGCTCAGCAGGTGCACACTTTGAGTGCTTCTAAAATGCTTCAGATCCGTCTGCACTGGAGGACTCTTCAAGACGCAGGGAGTGATGCCTGGTGGTCCCTGCTAGTGGTCTCAGCACTCAGGAGGGGCTGGAGTTCAGCTGCATTTGTAGTGAATTTGATCCAGTTTGGACCACAGGAGACCCTATCTCGAGAAACCAAAATAAATAAGCAAACAAACAAATGACACTCTTGAACCACTAGGAACGCTTGATTTCATGGGTAGAGATGGGGTAGGTATGGTGGGGGTATATCTCTGTGCATGCATGGATCTTCAGTTTTTATTTATTCTGAGTGAGTTTTAGGCCACCTCAGATGAATTGGAAGCCAACATATTGTTGGGGGTCAGGAAGAGGCAGGAGTCTTCTTCACTTCCATATGCCTGGTGCCCACCTGCTGCTAGGCCCACCCAGAATGGATGGGTTCTAGGATTAGGACTACTGTGATGGGACCTGCCTTCTGGGCTCCCGGCTTGACTATCCACTGCTTGCCAGTCAGCTAGTCCTTACCTGTGTGAGCTCCTCCAGCAGCCAATCCTGCCCCACGGGAGTGTGTGGATGAGAAGATGGCACTCTTCCCTGGAAGGACGATTGACTTTTGGGAAGTCTGGCCAGCAAGGATTGGGCTGGATGCCAATCCCTTTCGCTTTCTTGTGTCCTTGTACAAAGTACAACATGAGCAGCCACACACGTCTTATCAGGCCCTTTAATCCAGAAGATGGGCCATCGGTTTTCACTCCTGCCTCCCTGCCTCCTTCCTTCCTCCTCCCTGCCTCCCTGCCTCCCTCCTTCCTCCTCTTCTATCCCTCTCTTACCTTCCTCCCTCTTATCTTCCTTTCCTCCCCTTCTCTCCCTCCTTTCATTCCTTCCTCTCTTCCTTTTCCCTTCTTCTCTTCCTCCTTCCTTTTCTTCCTCTCTGCTTACCTTCTTTTCTCTTTTGGCAAGAACCCAAGAATATTCTAGATAGGCCTATCCAGTAGAGGAGCCCGCTTAAGGGTCAGGATACTGTTAGCCAGAAACAACTGTCATCGTGGTGAGGCAGACCTTTCTTCTCCAGTTGGCTTCAGGGCCAGCCAGACCCTATGCTAGAAAGGTTGGCTAGGAAGCTGGGTAGAAACAAGATGTAGTTACATATTTGAGGAAGAGTTAGTGTGTCAGAGAAGGCCAGAGGAGCAGGAAAGGAATAGTGTGAGGGAGATGGGGTATGAGAGACTATGGCCAGGCTGTATGGGACCGTGTGGGCTGCTGGGAAGACCTTTTCTACTGTGAGTGGTGGGCGACGGGATGTGGGATAATCTGAGGACTCTGGTTGCTATGTGGGGAAGGGCATTGTGGGTGGGAAGGGAACAGGAGTCAGTGACTCCTGGAATGGTCTATCTTGATGAGAGCTGTTGATGGCGTGCATCTAGATCAGTGATTCTTAACCTGTAGGCCTCGACCCCTTTGGCAAACCTCTATCTCCAAAAATATTTACGTTATGATTCATAACAGTAGCAAAATTACAGTTATGAAGTATCAGCAAAAATAATTTTATAGTTGGGTTCACCACAACATGAGGAACTTTAAAGGGTCACAGCTTTAGAAAGGTTGAGAACCACTGTTCTAGGTAGACGCCTTTCCAACGTCATTGATGGGACTGAATGACACTCTGCATGTTCATTCTGAGAAAAGAGTCAAGATACATCAAGGCTTCTTGACCTTGTAAAATGGAGGAGAGTGGAGTAGAGGTAGTGTCTAGACAGATGCCATCTGAGAGCTTGATGGCACAGGCATACTCTGTCTCTTTTCTGTGGTTTTGATTCCAGGTACAAATCCTTGCATCTACCTCCTTCCCACAAGGCATGCACAGGGCTCAAATGGACTGTTCTCCTCTTCCTCACAACTCTTGTTCCTGGATTCCTTCTCTAATGTCATCTTCACTTTTTCTGCTAAAGTGCTGTGTTATGACTGAATGTAAGATAACATCCGTCCATCCATCCTTGACTGATTCATCTTTCCACCCACTTACCCATGAGTACATCTCTTCACCCACTGGTCCATCTCTCCACCCACCCCCTCCCATGAGATCATCTCTCCACCCACTTATCCATCTATCCCTGCCCCCACCTTTACTTTCACCTGTCTTTCCATTCACTTACAATTAAATGTTTACTGAGGACCTGCCATGTGAAGATGCTGGCCCATCCTTTGGAGAAGGGCAGCAGAGATTCCAAAGTGACCAAGACAGTCCCGGGGCACCATTGTCTCAGACCTTAGGCTTCCTCTAGACACTTGTGCCAAAAAGACACCCACTTTTCCTAGCTGGGCTTCCCACCTACATCCCAGGTTCCCTGTCATTTTTAATTTAACACTTCTAATCATGCTAGGTGACCTGGGAGGTCCTTGGGATTTGTATCCCTTGCTTCCAGCCATTTCTTTAGTAACCAGATGTTTAGTTACTGTAACAGCTGGAAGTACTAGAAGCCTCAGAGATGTGTCTTAGGACAGAAATTTTATCAACCCTATTTGTAAACCGCACACATCATAGGCTTCTCTAGGGGGCTGGGAGAGACAGTGAAGAATCCAACTATTCAGGGGTGCTGTCTTGGGGCCCCAGGCAGCACGGCCCAAGCTGAGTAGGCTGGTGAGGGTGCCAGGACTTAGAACTTGGCTCATTCTTTGGAGAAAGGCCAGCACCTAGGTTGGGAAGAGCTGCATTCAGGCTTTGGAAAGAAGTTGAACCAGGTAACCAGTCAGAGTAGAGGCAAGGAAAGGATTACACACAGGTAGGGAGAGGGAGTGTCCACTAAAACCTGAGTGGGAACCCAAGGAACACTGACCGCCTCTGAGGACAAGGCCTGGCTGCCCAGAACCTCAGATGAGGTTCACACAGTTTGGATGTATGCAGGCAGTTACATGAACAGTCTCATCTGGCCTTGGAACTTTAAAGCCCCTTTGAACCATCAACTCATCACTCCACACAGTAAGGCACAATTATCCTTCATTTTATAGACACCAAAGCTGGTGCTTAGAGATGATGTACCTCGGCCTCCTGGAGTCAGTGAAGAGCAGCAAAGATTTCGGGGTCTTCAGTTGAATCCCCAAAGCCACTATTTTAGCCAAACAAAAGCCCCTAGGCCACACTGCCCTGCCTTAGGTTCCAGAAGGCCTTGGACTTTCGAGAAGTGGACACACCCATGTATTTCAAGTTCTGAACAAGTACCAGGTCCTAAGGTGGTGACATTAGCATGCTGTCTCACTGAATCCTCCCGGCGAGGCTAGACCTGTAACCGCCCCTTGATTTACAGAGGAAACAGGCTCTGAGAGGGAGCTTTCCAGAACTGCATCCACTCACTTCCTGGGATCCACAGACAAGGATTGGAATCTGTCATACCACCTGAGGTGACAGTGCATTTGAGATAGAGGACAGCTCTCTGATGAATCAGACTAAGGATATCTATTTCTGAGGGTTAAGGTGGGATAAAACGCTTCAACCATGTGGTGCGTCCAAGGATTTCAGATGAGAAGCTGTCAGTCCCTACGTGCACCCGCTCCACTCCTACAAATTCTGGGCAACTCAAACCATGGATACACAGGAGAGAGGAAAAAATTCTTACTCAAGTGACTGTGTATGCCTGGGATGCCATGGGGCAGAGAGTCATGGGAAAGGGGTGGGTGGAGTATTGGGCAGCCCGGCCTGGCAAGTGGAAGCACCAGATATCCAGTTCAAGTTCAGCCTTATTGTGATGTCAGACAAGCAACGTCTGATTCTTACATGTGCTCTGTCCAGCACGCCTACAGTCTATCTGGCAAAAGCTGGGAACTGAAGGCCAGACTGGGCTCTGTCCCAGCTTCTCCTGGAGCCAGAAGCTTGGCGTTGGGTCAGTATGGAAGGAAGGAGAGACAGGAGCAGGGCTGGGCAGGGCAGGGCAGGGCAGAGCTGGACTTGCAGGTACTACCCCTTCAAACCTCCGCACTGGGCCAAAAGACTTCATAAAAGAAGAATGGGCTAGCAGTTACCATCAGCTGGAAACTGCGCACACCTTTCAGCATGGCCTGGATTCGAAGTCCTTAAAAGGGTTTGGGGATTTGAACCAATGATTTTTCCTAATCAATACAAATTGTACTTCTAAACAGGGCTCCTCTATGGGCTTGCTTTTTCTTCTTCCAATTAACCCCATCATTCCTGGGGTTCTGGACTTGAGAGTAAAGAGGAGGAGGTGAAGTTGGCGTTGAGGGTTGTAAGAGAGCCTCCTGCTAGAGTCTTGGCTGGTGGACTGAGGTTTATAGCCGGCAGCATTCATCACTCCTTTTTTCCTCTAAATGGGACTTGAGCAATCCTATTTATGTAGCCTCTAGGGTACACGAAGGGTCCTTTTCTCTTCTGGTTAAAGAATTAAAAGGCAGGAAATGTCTGAAAGCCACACAAAGTCAACATTTATTCAAAGAGGACAATTTTATTAGTGTTTAAATGCTCCAAAGCAGGCAAGCTCTAAATCTTGGAGGCTGCCTGGGGGAGGAGGATGGAGGGGAGGAGGTGTTATCATCCAGGCACACCTTGGCCCTACCTCTCTGGAAACTGGCACAGTGTGTCACCCTTCTGCGCATGACAAGCAGCACCCTGGCTCTAGGAATGCGGCGGAGGTTCCTTTAAGAGATGGGCTCTGCCTACTACTGCTCTTTCTGCTATTTCTCTGAGGAGGCAGGTGTCTGTCTGTCTGTCTGTCTGTCTTCTCTCCCCCCTCCCTTTTCCTATTCCCTTCCCTTCCCCCAATAAAACTGTCCCTCACCCACCGTGGGATCTGCCAAGATCCCGTGCACCGCATGTCATAACAGAAGGGAAAAAGCCAGGCCCTTTAAGTGGCATGGAGGTCAGTCATGCGCGGCAGACATCAGCTATGTAGTGAGAGAGAAGCTTTAGAGGAGCCCAAAGTAGCACAAAAAGTAGACTTAGGCTCCAGCCTGCTTAAGAAAGAAAAACACAAAAGAGAAGATAAAAGAAATAGGTCCCTGTTTCTGGGCAAACCTTGCCAAACCTCTCAGCTCCTAGGAAATATGCTAAAGGGTGGGAATTCTGAGAAGGAAAAATATATTCTTATTAAAGGGATCATTATTCTACCTATCTCTTTAGCCTGGCTTAAGGTAAACCCACCTTTCTGAGGTGGGAGGGTTCCTCCCTTGCAGGTATTTGAGCAACTGAAATGGTTGCATTTGTTTATGTTTGGGTAGCTCAGAATGTGAGGTCTCCACCCAGACCCCGGGATTTCATTCTCTTGATCAAAAGGAGCTAGTTCTTCCTTAATGGGCTTTTACCATTGCTTTTATTACTTCAAAGGACTGCTCTGACTGCCTGAACAGAGACTATGTGAGGCCAGCTTCCCTGATGGAGAGACCCCCAAATCCTTCATTACCACCGCCCCCAACACTGCCTTCACCATCAGAACTTCTAGAAACAGCCTCACATCCAAGCCAGGAAGATGTGACAAGCCGAAGGCCGGGAAGATGGTACAGCCTCTGAAGCAGTTGTCCCGCAGACACAAGGGCCCAGGTTTGGTTTCTCCAGAGTCCAGGTAAAAAGCCTGGGGTGGTGTCCATGCCTATGACCCCAGCTCAGAATAGGTAGGGAATGATGCCACTTAGGTCAGTATGAAGCAGTCTTGAGAACACGGGGACCTCGTCCCCACCTCACCTGCTATACTTTTCTAACTCCTCACCTTTTTATAATAAACAAACAGGAGGAATGTTAGCATTCAAGCATCTGTACTGGCTACTCTTGGGGATCTGACAGGATATGTCCTCAGCTGCAGCCACCAAGAGCACTCCCTGTGCACATTCACAACATTCCCTTTTAAAAGGGCCCTGCCCACCTCCCATTTCTCCCTTTCTCCCTCTCTCCCTCCTCTCTCTCTCTCTCTCTCTCTCTCTCTCTCTCTCTCTCTCTCTCTCTCTCTCTCTCTGTTTCTCTCTCTCATTTCTCTGTTTCTCTCCTTGTGTCTGCTTCTCTGTCTCTGTCTCTGTCTCTCTGTCTCCCTCCCTCCCTCTCTCTCTCTCTCTCTCTCTGTTTCTCTGTGTGTGTTTCTCTCTCTCTCTGTCTCTCATTTCTGTTTCTCTCCCTGTGTCTGCTTCTCTGCCTCTGTCTCTGTCTCTCTCTCTTCTCTTCTGCTCCTGTCTCCAGAGGCTGGTCTCTCCTCTCCCCTTTTCCCTGTCACTTTCCCCCAATAAAACCCCCCCCCACCCAAGCTCTGTCACATGGTGTCTCTCTCTCTCTGAGTGCCATTTTTTAAAATTACAACACTCAGCCTGAGTGCATTTGTCCCTTTAAGTTCAGGACTCTGTAGAGGTTCAAATACATTGATCTGTGAGCCTTGTACTGGAGCTGCTCCAACTTCCCACAGTTTCCAGACTATCGCCAGGACCTCTCCCTGGTCCTCTCCTCGCCATACCTCAGCCTGTTGGGGTCTGTCCTCTCCCCTCGGCTCTTGTCTGCACCCAGAGTGGCTCCTGCATCTTTTCTGCCTTGCACCCAGGGATGGTGACTACAGATGAAAACCCTGGGTGGCCAGTACAAAGGAGAGGACCTGAGAGTTTCCCTTTGGGGTAGTAAGCCAAGGCCCTTAGGACATTTTGAATCTGACAGCAGTGTAAGTTATAAAACATGCCAAAGAAGTTCTTAGATGAATTCTTTCACCCCGCAAGGGTTTCTGGGAGCCAGTCTGATTCCTCCTCAGCTCCCAGGAAGTAAGGTGGTTTTGCTTCCATCTCTCTGGTTGAAGAGCAAAGTGGGAGAGGTCTCCAAGATGAATGGTTCCCAGGGAGCATAGCCCTCATGGCTGACATCATTAGGCATCATGGGATTGCTGTAAAGCTTGCGATGGTGGGTTCAAAGCTGGGCTCAAAGCTAGGTCATGGTGATGCGAGTTCCTGTGTTTTTTAGATTTGGACACCAAGGCTTAGTTTCTCGGGACCACTCTGTGAGTGACTGGCAAAGCCACAGCCAGGGCTGAGTGCCTGCCCCGGTTTTCACCAAGGCCACCTGCCTGGGATCTGTTGTTAATGGCTTGGGATTTTTTTGCTGCATTACTGCTGGCCTGACCCCATTTTCAGCAATGATCTTTCACTGGGAAGAAGACTGCCCTAAGAGCAGCAGGCCCAGGGGTCACTTAGATTAAGATTCTGCGAAAATAATCAAGTGCCTAGTGAATGTCAGAGCATGTCACTGACAGTTCATGCACTCAGCGACTCAGAAAATTGAGTGTGGCCATCCCCACTTCACAAGGGGAGCTTAGAGAGGACCTTTCTTCCCCAAAGACCCCAGGATCCAAAACCATTTTGTTTTTCCCATCATAACCACAAGAGTGTTTGAGAATTCCAGACAGAAAACCAGGCATGATCCTAAAAAATAGTTATTTAAATATTAAAGAAAAAGATTTCACTCATGCAGTAACATCTGAAGCTATGTCATAGCCCTCCAGCTCCACAGCACTGTGCCCTGTCCATCTTTCTGAAGACACCACACATGGACCTTTCCTCATTCTAGATGCTCTGGGACTATCAGTTTGTCCTTTAAGCAATTGGCACCTGTTGTCCCCTCTCCCTGTCTTCATTAGTGAGCTCTAGGGTCTGAGAGATCTCATTTCAAAAAATAAGGTAGAAAGTAATAGAGATAAATTATAGATAGATAGATAGATAGATAGATAGATAGATAGTGATAGAGGCATTATCCTCCCACCTCTAAATACATGAACAGCTGTGGCCTTCTCTCCCATTAGTTGTCAACTCGCAAGTCACCTTCTGAAAGAGTCTTTGGCCATCCTGCCTGCACTAGTATGCCCAACCCCAACCATCACCCAGCCTACTGGCCAAGCAACTGGATGTCATCTCACCGATTCTCACTGTTCATACGTGCCTCTCTTACTAGACTGTGGGTCTCTTGTCAGGACAGTATAAAACACATGGTAAGAGCCAAGCAGGCTTGCAGAGTCTGTCTCTGTCTTTTAAGATGGAATGGGTGAGACTCTAGAGCTTGGGATGCTGTTTCCCTGTTCTCTGGCTGACCACGGGTGTCCTCAGAAGTCCTGGAATTTTTGTCTTTCTTACCAAATCTCATTGACGTCAGTCCTGCCACCCACCCAGGTGTCACTTTAAACAAGCGATTTAACCCAAGCGGTGATGCGAAGGCACAGGGTTGACAGGATTACCCACCGAGCCTTCTATCTTCCAGTGGCCTAGAAGAAAAGCCAGTCCGTAAATAGGTGTGGGACCCACAGAATGGTCCATGGGCTTTCTGCAATAATGTAAAAGGAAAACTTTCAAATACCACAATTTGCAAATGAAGACCTTTAAAATAATGGGACGGTGGCTCTGGAATGGGATGATTAGGATAATGCGATGTTTAAGTGGACGCTTTTCCTCTCAAGGACCTACCTGAATTCTGCTGAGCTCATCCCACCCGAGACCTCAGAGAGATCAGTTATGACTTTTATTAAAGTCAAACCAATACCTGTATTCGCAGCCGCCTGGAGGAAATTTCTTTCTGTAACTCTGATTGAAGTTTAATGGGAACTACACAAAGAAAATTTACTTAACCTCCTCACCCATCTCTTCCACGGCGGAAGCCTGTTCGTCACGTGCTCAGCTCCCAGGAGACACTATCAAAGATAGCACTTCTCAATTTCATAATATTTCTCAGAGTGAAAGAGGGAAGACAGCTGCAGACCCCGAGCACTCCAGACTCCGGCACAGTCAATGTCTGATTTCACTTACGGGAACAATACAGTGGCTTTTCTCAAGGGTGTGCACATTAGTACCTTGCAGATTACAAAATAAAAAGTGTATGGACAGCTAAGAAGTGATCTCAGGTGGGTGTGAGTGTCCGCAGATACAAAGCTCTAGCTAAACTGGTCCTTGTTCTATTGTTAGTCAATATCAGCTCCGTGCACGCTTTACAAGACAAGTGTCTGCTCCTACGCGGTAAAGAAAGCCTGAGAGCGGTTGAGAGCGGTTCCTCTCCTCCAGAGAGTTCCAGGCAACGCGGTACCAGCGGCCACCATGTGTAGTACTTTATAGATGGATGTACTTAGAAAACACCCACATTTTTATTGGGAACTCTGCACACAGACAAAGTGTATAAAGACGGGAGCTGGCTCAGTTGGTAAAGGGCTTGATTTGCTAGCTTGAGGAGCCAAGTTTGATCCCCAGAAACTGTGTATAAAATAAGAGGGGCTAAGTGCTTGTAATCACAGCACTGGGGAGGCAGAGACAGGCAGACCCGTGGGGCTCACTGGGACAGTGTATGTCAGTTATCCATAAATACCATTAATAATAATGTAGTATGTAATAATAATGATAATGATAAACCTGCTTTCCTCAGCTGGACGATGGTGGTGCATGCCTTTAATCCCAGCACTCCGGAGGCAGAGGCAGGCGGATCTCTGTGAGTTCAAGGACAGCCTGGTCTACAAAGCTACACAGAGAAACCCTGTCTCAAAAAAACAAAACAAAACAAAACAAATTCACTTTTCTCTTTCTCATCAAAATCTGAGTTTAACCTGAGAGTTGATCTAGAGCAGTGGTTCTCAACCTTCCTAATGCTGTGACCCTTTAATACAGTTCCTCATGCTGTGGTGACTCCCAACTATAAAATTGTTCTTGTTGCTACTACATAGCTGCAATTTTGCTACTGCTATATACTGTAATATAAATATCTGATATGCAACTGGGTAGGAAAAGAAAGGTCATTAGACACTTGAGGGGTTGGAAGCCACAGGTTGAGAACCACTGGTCTAGATGCTAGAAAATAAATCTTAAAAAAATAGTGGGGAGTCTCTATGACATTTGTCTTGGTAACAATGGACTATATTGTCTAACAATGCACACTTAAGTAGAAAAATGGTCACAAAAACAAACAGGAATTATGAAGCCAGTTGGAAGACCAGAGGCAGTGGTGACCAAGAATGGCGTGGTGGAAGGGTTTTGGGTTTTGCCAATGCCTTGACTTAGGTAACTAATCTTTCACAGAAACTGTACGTCTGGGTTTTTCCACACTGTGTGTGAGAGTGTTTGTGGGCGTGTGCCTGTGTGTGTTGGCCATCCCCCAGAGCTGCCACCTCCTTGTGGTTGGACAGTCACTCCACACAGCCCTCTTTTCTTGCTGTCAGCGGCAACCCTTGCACCTCCTTCACAGACACGGAGCTGTGGCAGCATCCCTGGAGGGAGACCCAGATCTTAGCTGAGGTTGTTGCTAATTGCCTGGCACTAGAAAACAAAGGTGACTGGAGGCCAAAGTAAGGAGGAAAGAAGTAAAAAGAGTGGAAATCCATAAAATGAAAAATAGAAAATACAAAGAAAAAATGAGTGAAATGAAGAAGTAGTTCTTTGAGACTGATAAAGGGAACTCACACACCATTCAGCCTGGCCACTGTGCTCAGGAGGACTGAAAATGTGTGTCTCCAAAGGCGTGTACATGCACACATACAGTGTCTTTATTTGTAACATCCCCAGGCAAGGAACAAATGTTCATCACCAGGTAAAAGAGTGACCAAGATGTTCTGTTAGTAGAGCAGAATTCTATCCAACAGTTAAGAGGATGCTAGAATATAAGAGAATATCATGAAAATTTTGCTGATTGAAGGAATCTAAACAACAAAAAGTACATGTGATATTAGTTCATTTACTTAAAGTTCTGAATATGGTGATGATGGTGGCAGTAACTCCATCAGTGAGTGATTATTTGGGGAAAGGAAGTAGGAGAGAGCAAGACCATCTTGGATGGTTGTCTCAGTATTTAAAAAAATGTAAAAAAAATTTTTAAAGGAAAACATAAAATAGGCTTGCTTTCACAGTACCTAATATTAATCTCTGTGAAGGCCGAAAGTGCCTCTTAGAACAAAATTCAATATTGTTCAGATAAAGATAGCAAAATATATGATATATATTTTTAAAGTTGTGAGACATATGAAAAGATAAAAAATGTAAGCTGGGCAGTGGTGGTGCACACCTTAATCCCAGCACTTGGGAGGCAGAGGAAAGCAGATCTCTGTGAGCTTGAGCCAGCCTGGTCTACAGAACGAGTTCCAGGATAGTGACAAGCTGGTGAGATGACTCAGTGGATAAGAACATCTGACATACAAGCCTGATAATCCAAATTTGATCCCTGGAATCAATGTCAAAAAAAGAAAGAAAGAGAGAGAGAGAGAGAGAAAGAAAGAGAGAAAGAAAGAAAAAAGAGAGAGGGAAAGGAAGAAAGAAAGGAAGAAAAGAAAGGAAAGAAGGAAGAAAGGAAGGAAGAGAGAAAGGAAGGAAGGAAGAAAAGAAAGGAAGGAAGGAAGAAAAGGAAGGAAGGAAGGAAGAAAGGCAAGCACCAGACGCAATGGTGTGCATCTGTAATCCCAGAGAAGGGAGGGGCCAGCTAGCCTGGAACAAGGCATTGGAAGTTCCTGTGAGCCTTCCAGTTCAAGATGTTTGTTATATAATATCCTGAATGTTCCAGGACCAGGAACATTAAGATAACTTTGCTAAGTATAACAAATCTATAGGAATAGGTGTATTTAATGTGTGAAAAGATGGGGAGCTTGAGAAAAGAGTTATTAATAACTTAAAAGAAGAATCGAAAGAAAATTCTAGAACTGAAAAAAATCTGAAAAGGAAGAGAAAAAAATCATTAGAAAATGTCATGGTAGATGGGAAAAAGAAGGAGCTAAGATCAATGAACCAGAAGACAGAGCTATAGAAATGAAACTTCAAATGGAGTTTGGAGGGGAGGGCTGGAAACAGCTCAGGGGGCCAGAGTGATCTGTGAGAGATGGCCCCAGGTATGAGTGCCGAAGAACACTGGGGTTCTTAATAGAGAACGCAGGAGAACTGGTCAGGAACACATGGTAAATACTTAGTTAAGTATTATTTTGTATGTGTGTGTTCGTGTGAATGGTATGAATATGTATGGAAGTCAGAGGTCAATGTTGGTGTCTTTCTCAGTCGCTCACCACCTTATTATTAATATTCTTATTATTTACAATAAAGTCTCTGAACTTGGCCATCACCAGTTGGCCTAGACTACCTGGCCAATGAGCTCCAGGAATCTGCCTGTCTCTGCCTCTATTGCCCTCCTGCAGTAGGGGTGCAGATGTGTTGCTTTATGTGGGATTCTAAACTGGGGTCCTAACGCTTGCATGGCAGACACTTTACTGACTGATCCATCTTTCAGTGCTAAAATTTGATTAAACAACAAGTTAGCAACAAAACAAGACAAAAAATCACAACCTTGAAAACACAAACCAGGCAACAGATCCACAAAGCTGAACACATAGCCAATATTTAGATAAATCTAAAGATACACATACAAAGGCTAATCAAAGTTAAACTGAAAAACACGAGTAGACAGAACATATGAAAAGCAGCCAGAGATATTATCCACCATAAACAATTGCAGCCAGATGACACCCATCATTAAAATGCTGAAGGAAGGGATTGGAAAGATGGTTTAGATGTTAAGAACATTCGTTGAATTGAAACCCAGGTTCAATTCCCAATGACCACATCTGGAGACTCACACTTGCCTGTAACTCCAGTTTCCTGCCTGTAACCCCAGTTTCCAGGGCATCTGATCCTGCCTTCTGGCCTCCATGGGCAACTGCACAAATGTGGTGTACATACATGCATCCAGGCACACATATGCATACAAAAAATATCAAAAGAAAACCCCAGCAACCTAAAAATCTATACAAAATAGAAACACCATGTGAAAATCATGAGGCAGCAAGATATTTCAGATGTATGAAAGGCAAGGCAGTATATATAAAGGCAAAATATGCTGGAGCACACAGACTAAAACCTAAGCATTGCCTAGAAGAAATTCGCAGGCCTTGCTCAAGGATGACATCAACATTCACAAAATGTCCTATAATTTTAGGCCAGGGAATGGGAGGCTGATACGTTCAAAGTCCTGGAAGAAAAAGCGACCACCAGTAGTGGATGTTATGCCCAGCAAAGCAATCTGTCGGAAAGGAAGGGGAGATGAGGACTTTACCAGGTAAACCTAAGCTAGGGGAATGCATCACTGCCAAGCCTGCTGTAAGAAATGCAAAGGGAGTTCTCCAAGCTAAATTAAAAGGAGCCAATTCCTGGCGTGAAAACATACAAAAGTAGAAAACTCACTGGCAAGTATAAGCAGGCACTCCAGCCTAGAATACACTAGTATTTATACCATATATACCTTTAGGATAATAAAAAGACAAAACCATTAAAATAGTGATATCTGTGATAAGTTGTTAAGGGCTACACAGTATGAAAAGGTATAAACAGTAACAAAAAACAGAGAACATGTTGAAGACTGAAATTATAGATCCTTGTGCAATCACAGTAGTAGAAGTCACTCTAAAACAAGATGTTTGTGTAAGCCCCATGGTTACCACCCAACAGAAACCTATAGAAGGTGCACAAGAGATGAGAAATAAGAAACCAAAGCACAGCAGCTCAGATGAGAGAAAGAAAAGAACAAATACCTACAAAACAATCAGAAAACAAAATAACAACCAGTCATTTCTAATCAATATTACTTTAAACACAAATGTATTAAATCTTCCAATCAATATGTGCATAGAAAATGAACAGATTTTTTAAAAAGACTCACTATATGTTCCTGTGTCTGTCAGCTTTCCATTGCTACAGCAAATAGTTAATTAAGAGGGAAGGTCTGCATTGCTCATGGTTTGGAGGGAGGGGGTTAGTCCACAATCATTTAGTTCCATTACCTTTGCATCTGTGATGAAGCATAACCCCATGGTGGAAGAACTAGTTGGAACCTGTTTAACCTTCTGGTGACTGAGAAGCAAAGAGTAAGAAAAGGCCAGTGCCCTACTGTCTCCTGCAACAACTGTGGAAGTGAATGTAATTGGCTGCTATAAGCTCAGTGGGAGTGGCACTATTAGGAGGTGTGGCTTTGTTGAAGTAGGTGTGACTTTGTTGGAGGAAGTGTGTCACTATGGAGGCGGGCTTTGAGGTCTCATACATGCTCAAGTAGTACCCCATGTCTCAGACCACTTCTTGTTGCAGAAATCTCGGCTCCCTCTCTGGCACCTGCACACCAGCATGTCCCACCATGATAATGGACTAAAGCTCTGAAAATTTATGCCACCCCAATTAAATGTCTTTCCTTTCTAAGAGTTCTGTGGCCATGGTGTCTCTTCACAGCAATAGAAACCCTAACTAAGATAAGGACATTCCTAATGATTTAACTTCCTTCCTCCTGGCCTTGCCTCCTGTGAGCTCTACCACCTACCAATAGTGCTAAGCTAAGGACCAAGCTTTAACATGTGGACCTTAGGAGGCAATCCATATCCAAACTGTTCTCTACCAGAAACTCTGTTTACCTTTGAGGACAGGCATAGATTGAAAGTGAAGAAATGGAACCCCAAAGAGACCTGGTGTAATTTTTTCTTTAGTAATTAAGTTTCTTATTAGACAATGTTCTCAAGACATGCTGTTGGCTCTCATGCCCACCTACCAACCACCCCATCCACCCTACCTCCTCCTCACAATCTCTCTCCCACAGCTTGTTTATGACTCACTGAGAGTAACCAGGGCCACGTGTATGACCATGGACTGAGAGCTGTCCGCTGGAGCATGGTGGGCTCACATGGAACTGTGGGTATACAACTAAAGCCGGTGGGGGTGCGAGACCATCAATGTTTTGCCATTTTGGAAAAAGAGTTTGAGGATTTCATGTGAAGTTAAACATATACATTTTCCATGATCTGGCAATTCTACTGTGCATTTAACCATATGTTCACAATTGTGTCTTCATTTAAACACATGCCTCATTTGTAAGAGAATATTCAAAGTGACTTTATTCATAATAGTCCCAAACTGGAAGCAACCCAGTGGTCCATGGATAAGGGAGTGGATAAACAGATTGTAATATGTTAATAAAACTGACTACCCAGCAGTGGATAGAGGGAACTACAGTCATGTCTGACAATGTGGAAATGTCGTGTGGTGTGAAAGGAGCTTGTTAAAAACACAGCATGTGCTCCACAACCATGCTCATAAGATGGCCTAGAATAGGCTTAGCCGTGGTGATAGAAACCAGAACCACGGTCCCTTCCAGGGATGGAGAAAGAAAACAAACGGCATGTATGTGCGGGTGGCTGTGATATGTTGTCTCAAGTATAGTGAATAGCCAGCCAAGGAGGCACCAGCCCCAGGGCATCTGGTAGCTGCCAATGTAAAAGGCTGGAAGTGAGAGAAGCCAATGATGAAGACTCGGTGTGAAGCTGACGGCCCGGAAGTTTCCTAGTGAACTATTGAAGTCAGTCATGCTCAAAGGCTGAAGAACCCGGAACCTACTGCCTGCAGCTGACAACCGCAGCAAAATCTGAAAGGGGATCATATGCCTGGGAGCTAGATTTGTTCTTCTTTCTTCTTGATTTTTAGATTTACTTATTTTTTAAAAAAAACTATATGTAAGTGCATGTGTGTGTGTGGGTGTGAGAGAGAGAGAGAAGGAGAGGGAGAGAGGGATGAAGGGAGGAAGAGACGAAGGAGAGAGAGGGGGAGAAGGAGGGGAAGGAAGGGGGGGAGGGAGGGAGGAGAGAGAAAGCACACAGGTACCCATGGAGTCCAGAAGAAGGTGTTGGATCCCCTGGAACTGGAATTACAGGCAATTGTAAGCTGCCTGATGTGGGTGCTGGGATCCAAACTGGAGTCCTCTGTAAGGGCAGCAAGTGCTCATAACGGCTGAACCATCTCTCCAGCCCTTTCTGCTTTTGTGGTTGTTCCGCTCAAGTCCTTACCCTGTGCCTGCCATTCATGTTCAGGGCAGGTCACTCCCTACACAGTTTCCTGGCTCACACACTAACCTCTGCGATCACCCTCACAATTGCTTTACCAATTTAATAGGCATCTCTCAATCTAGCCACACTAATAACCAAAGCTAGCCACCATACACAGGGCAAAGGAAGCCCAGCAGTGAGAGGAATGTTCCATATTCTGCTGGGGTGGAGGCCATGCGTGCACAAATCCCACAAGGTGCTGGAATTGTAGCACAAGCAACATTTGTTCTTCCATTCCTGGAGGCCAGAATTCCAAAACATTAGCAGGTGTGATTGATGGTCAGTCTTTGATGGGATCTGGAATTACCATGTGCCTATCAAGACACTTCCAGACAGGTTTGATGGTAAGAGAAAAACCACTTAACTGTGGGCAGCACCATCCCAGGTTGAATAATGGAAAGTGGGCTGAGGACCAGCATCCACCACTCTCCACTTCCTGACTACGGATGGAATGTGACCCACCGATTCCTGGTTCTGCCTCCCGCCTGTGCACTGTGGTGGACAGTCCTCTCAGACTGTGAACCAAAGCAAACCATTCCTCAAGTTGCTGTTTGTCAGGGATTTGACTACAGGGGATGACTCTTCCTGAGGACACCTACTCAGGAAGAATGTACCTTTGGCTAAGGCTTAAGCTCTTGGTGGCCCCTGGCTTGCAGATACCTCACTCTGATCTCTGTCCCCAGGGACAGCCACATTGACTGAGGACACCTTGATCTTAACTTGATCGGCCCTGCAAAGGCCCTGTTTAAAGGTAAATTCATATTCATGGGGAAGTAGGACTTACCTTTTTGGGGGAGGTGGGGGACAACTAAACCATAACACACAAGCATTTATCTATCAAAACCAAACTTATGAGAGAGGAACCTGTGACCTTGGCTTGGTGATGATTTTTTAGATATAACACCCCAAAAACATGATCCGTGAAATAAAAAACTGATAAGTTGAATTTTATTAGCATTAATAACCTCCTCTCTGTAAAAAGCACTGCTGTGGGGAAAATATTTTTAATACTCACCTAATGAAAGTCTAGTATCTAAAATAATAATTACTCTTTAATTCTTTTTACATTTACATTGTTCATAAATATATATTTCAGAGGACAACTTGCTGGTGTCAATTCTCTCTTTCCACCATGTGAGTCCCAAGGATGGAACTCTGACAGTGGGACTTGGCAGTGGGCTTCTTCACCTGCTGAACCTCCTTGCTGGCCCAAGAAAGAGCTCTTAGGATAATCAGATGCAACCAACAACATGATTTCACAGCAACATCTCCTCTATGAGGGATTCCTGGCAAAAAGCATGTGAAAATCTGCTTCTTGGCCATCCTCTGTCACTAAAGGACTGCAGATGGGAACAATGACACAACATTAGGAATATGCACACCTATGGGAATGGGCAAATTAAACAATAAGTAAATACAAGGGCAGTTCTCTCTGCTGGTGAGGATCCAGGCAATGGGAACTTGCAGAGACAGGCAGGAGATGCTCTTTGGAGGACTCACAGAGCTGACTGTAGCCTTGCCAAGGGTTCATAATCACACCCCTGGCTGCAGTCCCTACAATAAAACCTTCCCACAAACACCTGGGGCAGCTTTATTTACAACCAACCAAACTGGAAAAGCCAAGTGTCCTTCAGAAGGTGAATTCATGGTGGTTCAGTGCTGGAGTGGAATATTATTTAGCAATGAAAAGAGTAGAGCTACCAAGGCATGAGAGGATTTTAGAAGCACATTTGTTATTTAAAACTCTTTAACCAGAAATAGTTTTTACATTTGTGTATTTGTATGACTGCCTGTATGTGGCATCTGTGTGAGTGTGTGTGGGCACCTGTGTGGAGGTCAAAGGCCAGTCTGTAAGAGTCCCTTCTCCCCATGCGGGTTCCTGGGGCTTCACTCATGTCATCAAACTGGGTAGTAATGAGTCATCTTACCAGCCCTACTTTAAACTTTGGTTTGTTTGTATATTTGTTCAGTGTGCTAGTGTAATCGTGTACACCACATGCTGTGTGTGGCCAGAGGACGATTTGTGACAGCTGACTCTCTCCTACTCTGTGGATCTCAGGAACTGAGGCTCAGGTTGCCAGCCTGGTGGTGACTGTGCTTTCTCTCTTGGGGCCACCTCATCAGCGGCCTCCTGCTCCCGCTGGCCCAGCCTGTTTGTGTGTAGCAAGGTTTGGTTCCAAACTTCCCCTCCCGCCTCCTGAGTGCTGCGGTTATGGGCATGTGCCACCATGCCTGGTTGAATGAATTTTAGCTGTGTATTGCTAATGACAAGAACTGCAAAGAGACAGAGATACCATGATCCTAAGTCCATGGCAGTCTCGAAAGAGCAAAGCTATGACAAGGGTGAAGGGACAAGTGGTTGCAGCCGTCTGGGGGAAAGGCTGAGCAGGTGAAGCAGAAATGTCCTGAGTGATCTCAGAACTTTACAGCATAGAGTGTGGCTTGATCTACTCAAATTAAGAAAAAAATCTTGGAAGATGGAGATGGGATGCCACAGAGCAATCTAAATATATTACAAGTGCATGAAAGAACCCCATGGAAACGGGGTGGGGGGAGAAAGAGCCTGTTCTCAATAATTTTAGAAATGAGGCGAGTTTGTAGAAGGGAAGGTTAAAAAGCTGGAAATAAGAGTGGTACTGCAGCTGGTAAAGTTGTTTCCCACAGGGTCTGGGCCAGTGAGCTTACAGGCTAAGTGTGTGTGCTGGGATGGGGCAGCTGGGAAAATGGATGGAGGCAGTGACAGGGAGGGGAGCAAGTGGAGTGAGAAGTTAGAAACAAATAGGGAGAGGGCCTGGAGATCCTTGTGGAAACAGGTCAGAACTGGAGACGTGTGAACCCATGTGTAGCTCAACATCAGACGACTAACGTATAAAAATACACATGATACAGTCATAGATTATCAGAGACACATGCACATTTTTGTCTCTGTCAGCTGGGAAGGCCTAGAAGCTGGGACACATGCATAGCAATGACCACACTGCATGCCGGGCCGTGGATTCTAAGACCACTCTCTATTAAAAAGAACCAGGAATCTTAGGAGAAATGGCTGATTTTAAGACCACAATAGAAAATACATGATATGGGGCTGGGGATGGCTCCACGGATAAGAGTGCTTGCTGTGCAAGCATGAAGATCCCAGCATCCATATATAAAGCCAGGGATAGCCTATAATCCTGCAGTGTTAGGAGGGGCAGGGGAGATGGAAGGATTTCTGCAGATTTGCTGGCTACCGCAGCTGATAAAAGCAGCAACTCCAGGTTTAGTGAGAGACTGTGTCTCAAGGAACTAGAGCTCTAGAGCAGGATACCAGACATCCCCTGGCCTCTGCACCCACACATGGGTCCATGGTCCCCACCGCACACATGTGCTTGCAAAGAAAATATATAATAGGACCCCAGAGCAATAAAGAGTATAATAATAGTAATTCTATTATTATTAATAAAATAATAAGTAGTAAGTGAAAAAGTAATACAAAATAAGTAATGAGTAATAGGAAAATGAAGAGTGTTAAATAACTGTTCTCCACTCCCCCACAACAAATGTTAAAAAAACACCACGGCGGTGGTAGGATGTCAAAGTGTCTAAGAGCCACTCAGGAGAGCCCAAACTGGAGCAACTGGAATGAAAATGAAGAGTTTTTGACTCTAAAATAAATACCCATGGCTCATAGTGATAAGAAGAAGAAGAGAGTGAATAAATTAATACAGGGGGATCAAAGAGAGAAACATCCACCCAGAAGACTTGTAGAAATCTGGGCAGATGATCTGTCCCTGTGGTGCTGTAGCATAAGTCCCTGCTTCCCACAGGTAGGTTGGGCTGAAAGCATTGGGACTTTCATACCGAATGATAAAGAGTGGGAGACCCGCATGGGCTCTTGTCAGCTGTGGGGCCCAGGCAGGTGAATTTCCTTTTTCAACCTCGAGGTTCTCCTGCAGGTTGGAGGTAATGGATCCCAAGTGTCTACAGTGGTGGTTGTGAGGATTAACAGTCTACAAAGCCGTGCAAACAGGTCTCCGGGCACAGTGCTCAATGAATTACAGCATTGTTCTTTTTAAAGCTGCAGTGTTAATCTGCTCAGGCTTCTGTAATGAAATGCACACTGCATGCTGGGCGACTTAAGTAGTAAGAATTAATTTTCTCACAGTTCTGAACACTTAAAAGTCAAGGTCCAGCACAGTGGGGTTTGCTAGGCGGCTGGATCTCTGGCTTGCAAATGAATGCTTTATCCTCACATGGCTTTCTCTTGCTTGCTAGAGAGAAAGAGGAGAGGAGAGGAGAGGAGAGGAGAGGAGAGAGAGAGAGAGAGAGAGAGAGAGAGAGAGAGAGAGAGAGAGAGAGAGAGAGAGAGAGGAGAAATCACCTTCTCATAAGGTCCCCAATCCTTTAGACTTGGGGCCTCATCCTCTGACCTCCTGTAACCTGTGTAGCCTTAATTATGTCCTAAAGCTCTATTCCCAAATATAGTTGCATCAGGGATATGGCTTCAATGCATGAATTGGGGTGGGGTGGAGCATGGGCACGATTCAGTCTATTCTATCTTTACCAGTTGCTAACTACGTTGAGAAAAATCTCTCCAGTTCTATGGGGTTTTTTTCCTTTTCATTTTAAAAAATTGAGGTATTATTTTTATCCAATAAAATGCACACATTTTAAAATACTGCTAAGTGAGCTTTTTAAAGAATTAATCCTTTTTATTTTAGAATAGTTTTAGATTTACAGAAAAAAATGGAAAATGGTCTGGAGATTTCCCATAGACTCAGTAGCCACTTTACCCATCATTAAAACTTTAAGTTAGAAGGATACCTTTAGAGAGCGATTTCTGTCGTATTATCACACACCTTCTATGTACATTTCCATAGTTTTACCTAATGTCTCCTTTCTGTTCTAGTATCCCACTAGGATTTGGTCATCATGTCTCCTTTAGTCTCCTTTTGTCTGAGACAGTTCCTTGGGCATCTTTGTTTTGGGGTGATCTTGACAGTTTTGAGAACTGGTTCAACATTGAGGGTTCATTTCACAGGGTCTTGAATAACTGAAACTTCTGGGGATTGTATATGAGAGATTTTCTAGATTAGGTTAACTGAGGCTAGAAGACCTACCCTAAAAGTGGGTGGCACCATCCCCTAGGTTGGAGTCTGGGCTGAATAAAAAGGAGAAATGATTTCTTCTCTCTGCTTATTGACTATGGACACAAAGTGACGGGCTGCCTCATCCTCCTGCCTGTAAGCGTTTCGTCGGGATGGGTCAGGACAGGAACAGGAACAGGAGTGGGTCAGGTATCCTGGAGCTCGGGAGCCAAGGATACTGAGTGTTACACAGCTCAGGTAGAAAGGTATCCTGGAGCTCGGGAGCCAAGGACCACCACAGGTTGCAGTAAGCTTGGCAGCTTACAGCCTTGCCTCAGAGAAAGGCTTCTCCGGTGTGTCAGCTCCGCTCCTGCAGGACAGGGTCTTCCAGCTGGGGATGTTCGCCTAGTGTAGCAGTTTTGCTCCGCAGGAGGTTTCTCGGGCGAAGTTGCTACAGTTCAGCTCTGTTCCTGGAGAGCCGAGAGCGGAGAGCAGGGTGCCGGGAGCAGAGTGTAACAACTCCGCTCTGCCAAGGAAGGTTTCCCAGGCAAGTGTTACAGCGCTGCTCGCTCTGCTCTGCTCTGCTCTGCCCAGGGTCGCCTCTGTTCTGTCGCCGCCGCAAAAGAAGATCTTCACCCGAAGCTCATCCAAAGGTGTTTATTGGAAGACAGCTGGACCAGCCAAGCTGAACATACACAGGGTTTATATAGGGATTCCTGGGGTTGGGGAAGTTTTTCCAGAGTAGGGATTGGTCCAATTTCAGTGCTGAGCTCAGATTGGCTAGAGCTCTGCTCCGGGATTGGTTACTTTTTTACACAGGATTAGGGTCAGATTTGGCTCTGGTTTCAGGGCCAAAGTGTGTTTCTTTCTCTGGTCCTTTTTAGCCTTTTGGCTCCAATTTTAGGGCCAGGGTACATTTCTTTCACTGACTCTGATTCCAGGGACAAAGTGTGTTCCTTTGGCACTGGTTTTAGGGTCAGGGTACATTTCTTTGGTTCTGGTTGCAGGGCCAAAGTGTGTTTCTTTGGCTCTGCTCAGGGTGTGTTTCTTTGACTGGTCCCTTTTCCCTACACTGCCACCATGCCTCCCAAAACCATAGACTGAATCCCTCACAGTCTGAGCTGAAAAACACCTCTTCCTTTCTGAAACTGCTTCCTGTTGGATATTTGGTTTTAGCAATAAGAAACAGAAATAATAAGAGTGATGAGGAGTTTTGTAGACGCCTCTTCTCCAGGGCTCCTGATGCCTCGCTCATCTTTGGACTATGCATATGGATTTCAGAGCAGAAGACCCAGGGGTAAGGTGCCACTTCACCCCATCATTTCAATGGCCCACAGGCAATGTGACTTACCACTGTTTGTCACCTGGATGAAGTGGCATTTGTCAACTCTCCTTTCTACATGGTTCTCTTTGAATGAGGTCACTGGGCACAGTCCATGCTGAGGGCTAGGAAGCTATGCCCCATACTCTTGAGATAGGAAGAGCTACATGAATTATTTAGG